TGAACCATGAACTTCAGATGTTCAAGCTGGTTTTAGAAAAGGCAGAGGAACCAGAGATCAAATTGCCAACATCCTCTATATCATCAAAAAAGCAAGAGAGTTCCAGAAAAACATCTATTTCTGCTTTATTGACTATGCCAAAGCCTTTGACTGTGTGGATCACAATAAACTGTGGAAAATTTTTCAAGAGATGGGAATACCAGACCATCTGACCTGTCTTTTGAGAAACCTGTATGCAGGTCAGGAAGCAACATTTAGAACTGGACATGGAACAACAGACTGGTTCCAAATAAGAAAAGGAGTATGTCAAGGCTGTAGAATGTCACCCTGCTTATTTAAGTTATGTGCAGAGTACATCATGAGAAATGCTGGGCTAGAAGAAGCACAAGCCGGAATCAAGATTGCCGGGAGAAATATCAACAACCCCAGATATGCAGATGACACCACGCTTATGGCAGAAAGTGAAGAAGAACTAAAAAGCCTCTTGATGAAAGTGAAGGAGGAGAGTGAAAAAGTTGGCTTAAAGCTCAGCACTCAGAAAGCTAAGATCATGGCATCTGGTCCCATCACTTCATGGGAAATAGGTGGGGAAACAGTAGACACAGTGTCAGACTTTATTTTTTTGGGCTCCAGTCTAAAGAAATTTTAGGCTTCTTTTCTTCTGTCTAAAGTAAGATTTAGACCTAAGGAAGATGTTAGTCAGTTGTGTCAGACTCTTTGTGATCCCATGGACTATGGCCGGCCAGACTCCTCTATCCATGGAATTCTCCAGGCAAGAATACTGCAGTGGGTAGCCATTCCCTTCTCCAGGGGATCTTCCCAACCCAGGGATTGAACCCAGGTAGATTCTTTACTGTAGATTCTTTACTGCAGAAAGATTCTTTACTCTCTGAGCCACCAGAGAATCTCTTATACCTAATAAAAATAATAAAATATCAAGAATATGGTCAAGGATTATAACATTATCCTAACAATGCTTTCTGTTTTTGTGAATATATTTCTCTTTGAAATGAGAGTTTTTTTATATTTGTATTGAGTATTTTTGATAATATTTTGAAAATATATTTTGATAATATATTTGATTCTTGAAGTGAGTATTTTTGATGTATGATATATTTTAAGAGCATAAAATATTAATCCTACTGCTTTTAAATAAACTAAGAGAATATATTTAGGACCATATAGTAAAAAACCATCTCCTGTGGAAAAGGAAGAATAAATGAGTACAAATAGCTTTCTATTTAAACAGAAACTGAAACTTTGAAAGAAAGAAGAATTTGTAATATGTTGGACTGTAGGACAGGAAAGTTTTATCTTTATATTATGATCCACAGCACATGTTTTTCTTTTCTGGGGTTTTAACTTTCTTCTGGGTCAATAATTCTCCACATGGGATTTAAAGTAGATAAATTAGGTATAATAGATGAATTTTTTAGAGTATTTTAAAAGTCTGATATAAATTTTGCTTCTTTCTCTGCCTGGTGGAGTGAAACACCTTAAAGAGGGGCCCCAAAAGATCCTTCCCTTTTGCTGTGTTCTGTGGGGCATCTCTGTTTGTAGCAATGATTAACTAGTGAATTCAGTATGTTACCGCTGTATTTCTGAATTGTGTTTATGTGGCAAAAATTATTTTTTAAAAGTTTTAATTAAGATACAGTTGACAAATAACATAATATTAGTTTCAGGTGTACAACATAATGATTCAATATTTGTATATATTGCAAAATTATCATGACAATAAATATTAACATGTATCACCATAAACAGAATTTTTTTTCTTGTGATATGTGGTATAAGTTCTTATATTTATGCTTTGAGAATCAAAGAGCAGTTGGGGAGTAATAGCAATAGAATTGAATGTTGCATATAAATGCATCTTTAGACTCCAGATTAATATGTTCTTACTGCAAATTTATATATTATATATTGGTTCCAGTTTAAATTGAAAACTTTTAATGTCACTAATGATGCTAGTTTGTTGTTGTTTTTCAGTTGCTCAGTCGTGTCCAACTCTTTGCAACCCCGTGGATTGTAGCACGCTAGGCTTCCCTGTCCTTCACCATCTCCCGGAGTTTGCTAAAACTTGTGTCCGTTGATTCAGAAATGCCATCCAACCATCTGATCTTCTCTCATCCATCCTCCTCCTTCCTTGAGTCTTTCCCAGCATCAGGATCTTTTCCAATGAGTTGACTCTACCCATCAGGTGGCCTGACTATTGGAGTTTCAGCATCAGCCATTCCAATTAATATTCAGGGTTGATTTCCTTTGGATTGACTGGTTTGATCTCCTGGCTGTTCAAGGCACTCTTAAGAGTCTTCTCCAACATCACAGTTCAAAGGTATTAATTCTTCAGCACTCTCCCTTTTTTATTGTCCAGCTCTCACATCCGTACATGACTGCTGGAAAAACGATAGCTTTGACTATACGAACCTTTGTAGGCAAACTAATGTCTTTGCCTTTTAGTACACTATCTAGGTTTGTCCTAGCTTTTCTTCCAAGGAGCAAGCGTCTTTTAATTTCATGGCTGCAGTCACCGTCCACAGTGATTTTGGAGCCCCAGAAAGTAAAGTCCACCACTGTTTCCATTGTTTTTGCCTTGAAGTGATGGGACCAGATGCCATGATCTTTGTGTTTTGAATGTTGAGTTTTAAGCCAGTTTTTTCACTCTCCTCTTTCATCTTCATCAAGAGTCTCTTTAGTTCCTCTTTGCTTTCTGCCATAAGGGTGGTGTCATCTGCATATCTGACGTTATTGATGTTTCTACTGGCAATCTTGATTCCAGCTTGTGCTTCATCCAACCCGGCATTTCACATGATTACGCTGTGTGTAAGTTAAGTAAGCAGGGTGACAGTAAATAGCCTTGACATACTCCTTTTCCAATTTGGACCCAGTCCATTGTTCATGTCCAGTTCTTTTGCTTCTTGACCTGCATACAGGTTTCTCAGGCAGATCAGGTAGTCTCGTATTCCCATCTCTTTAAGAATTTTCCACAGTTTTTTGTGATCTACGTAGTCAAAGGCTTTAGCATAATCAATGAAACAGAAGTAGATGTTTTTCTGGAATTCTCTAGCTTTTTCTGTGATCCAGTGGATGTTGGCAATTTGATCTCTGATTCCTCTGCCTTTTGTAAACCCAGCTTGAATGTCTAGAAGTTCTCGGTTCACGTACTTTGAAACCTAATGTGGGGGATTATGAGCATTACTTTGTTAGTGTGTTTAATGAGTGCAATTATGCAACAGTTTGAACAGTCTTTGGTGTTGCCCTTCTTTGGAATTGGTATGAAAACTGACCTTTTCCAGTCCTGTGGCCACTGCTGAGTTTTCCAAATTTGCTGGCATATTGAGTGCAGCACTTCAACAGCATCATCTTTTAGATTTGAAATAGCTCAGCTGGAATTTCATCACCTTCACTAGCTTTGCTTGTAATGATACTTCCTAAGGCCCTCTTGACTTCACACTCCAGGGTGTCTGGCTCTAGGTGAGTGATCATACCATCGTGATTTTCTGGGTCATTAATATCTTTTTTGTATAGTTCTTGTGTGTATTCTTGCCCCCTCTTCTTAATATCTTCTGCTTCTGTTAGGTCCATACTGTCTCTGTCCTTTATTATTCTCATCTTTGCATGGACTGTTCCCTTGGTTTCTCTAATTTTCTTGAAGAGATCTCTGGTCTTTCCCTTCTATTATATTCCTTTATTTCTTTGCATTATTCACTTAAAAACACTTTCTTATCTCTCCTTACTGTTCTCTGGAACTCTACATTCAGATGGGTATACGTTTCCCTTTCTCCTTTGCCTTTTGCTTCTCTTCTTTTCTCAGTTATTTTTAAGGCCTCCTTAGACAACCATTTTGCCTTTTTTGCATTTCTTTTCTTGGGGATGCTTTTGATCACTGCCTCCTGCTGGTTGGTGAGCATATATTAGAAACACCTAAAAATTTTCAGTATTTTCTCCAAAGTAATCTTTTTGGCCATTCTGTTCAAACACTTTATTTTGGTATATGTTAGACAGCTTATTTTAAAATCTGCTAGATTAATATGGGCATGCGTGCTCAGTCAGTTCAGTTGTGTCCGACTCTTTGCAACTCCATGGACTGTAGCCTTCCAGGCTCCTCTGTCCATGCGATTCTGCAGTCAAGAACACTGGAGTGGGTTGCCATGCCCATCTCCAGGAGGTCTTCCTGGCCCAAGGATTGAACCTGTAGCTCTGTGTCTCCTGCATTGCAGGCAGATTCTTTACCCACTGAGCCACCTTGGATGTGTGAACAAAATGAGATATTTTAACTTGCCAGCATTACAGTTAAATGTTGTAATTCTCCTGTGCTGGAGTGGGGTAGTGAGAAGTCATAATCAAGGAGACAGAACAGCTCCAAATAACATCGGAAATATATCAGTTATGGAAATGGCACATAAATAGCAGCATTTGTTCAAAACCAAATTTCCCTTTCATGAAAGTGGGCTACATTGATGAACTGCAAATAACATTGCTAGATTGTTCTTTTGGCATATAATAATTTTAGAAATCACTCCCTGTACATTCCCATAGTCTCTCTTTTTTAAAAAATACTCTTTAGTAGAATATTTCATTAGGTCTAGGAAATTACCTACTTGCCAACTCTATTAGTTTGAAAGTTTGTGCTATCGTATGTTTTGGGGACTAATAAACATATGTGTCCTTTCCACATATTCTTTCCTTCTCACTACTCTCTATTAATAGAATTTGTGTACATTATTTTAAAAAGAGTCTGATCAGTATTTAAAATGAAGATATACTTTATCTATTGAAAAAAGAATTATGAAGACATATATTAAAAAGTATTCTGTGAAACGGGTAACCTACCTTCCAAAAGGACCTCCTCTAAAATCCTCATCTCTGATGCTTCAGTACCAGCAAGAGAAAAGTAACGCTTAATATGGCTTATATACTGTGGGTATTTTTTATGGACAAGTGGATATGATTTTAGTCTCTACTTCTGATCAACTTGCTTTTGCCTTCTTTCCTAGGAAGTGTGTAGAGAGCTCTGGTGTCTCAGCAAAAGCAACCGCTGTGTCACCAACAGTATTCCCGCAGCCGAGGGAACACTCTGTCAAACTGGGAATATTGAAAAGGGGGTAAGCTCAAAAGATTCATTAGCTTTTAACATGTAGACTAAATTGACAGATTTCTAGTTTTTATATTCAGCCACTAGAAAATCATGCATACTAATTAAAATGTGCTTGAGAAGATAGCAATTTTCTAGCCTAATGAATTATCTTGATATCTGCAAATATGCATTGTTTAGGAAAGTATAGTGAGTATTTTGTGAGTCAGTTTCATCTTTCTATATGTATATGTTTGAGCTATAGTCTCACAAAAAAAGCCCAACAGCAGTCTTATTTAATAGAGTCTGTTTATCCATATGGCTGTTTTTTGCAACAATTTCCAAGAAAATTATGTGATCCTAAAATAGATTTTACAACTGTAGTCTAATGAATCATTTTTAAATTATAATATGAGAGAAATATCTAATAGTAGAAGAATAATTTATTGAGCATAGAAATGATTGCTAAATAATTTTTAGTATCATCAGCCTAGTTTTCAAAACCTGTAATTATTAGGAATTGTTTAAACAGATAAGAATATTTTAGGCTATCCTTGAAATTCTTTAGGAATTGCTATATATGTGATTCTAACATTTATTGCTATGGACTGAGTTTACAACAGTAACTACACTATCATCTCTTCTCAGTTCTGACTTCTTCCATGTTAGCTGGTCTAGTTTCAACAAAGATTATAGTGAATTTCAGCTTGACATCTGATGTTTAAATAAAAAGAATGAAAGCTTTTGGGCAGCTGTCACAGTTTATTAATCCTTGCTGATGGCTTCATTCAGGACCCATGACCTAGTGCCATGTTGATGGTTTTTCCATGCTGAGTTTGAAAATGTTGGTAAATTATGCTAAATGTATAAATTGATAGAGTCATTTTTAAAAGATTAAGAATCTTTTTTTGAAACTTTTGAAAGTAGCCAATAAAAATACAGAGACCTTCACACACTATCAAAAATTCCTTCTGTTTTTTCATAGATGTAATAGAAATATTAGGAACCACGTTCTTGAAACAATAGTCTAGGTTTTTTCTGGAACCAACAATTCTTGTCAATGACAAGTAGCAATTTACCTCAATCTGTACTTAGAAGAAATACACAACTGTAAAGGGAAAGTCACAGTGAGAATCTGTTTCTTTACTTGCCATTGATTGATGATTATTCTTGTGATTTACACCAGCAGCTCACTGTTTCTATTTGCCTGTAATAATACTGTCACTAGACCTGATACCTCTTTTTATTTTACTTTAATTTTTAACCCAAAGCATGAAAAACTCATTCTTTTAAACACTTAAGAGCTCTCCTGAAAGCATCTGTAAATTATATGATCACTCTAATTAGGTAAACCACAAGTAGTGGCTATCTGAGAACCCAACTCAGTCATCTTTATGGCAAACACAGTTAATATCTCATAATTTGTGCTTAACAGCAGGGCTCTGAAATATCATATTTTAAAGCTTATGTGCATATAATTGATAGAGATGTCATTTACATATGCATTACAGTTTTGAAGGCTACTTAGAAAATGTTCTAAATAATATAAAAGCTAACAATATTGAATTTAAACTTAGATGAGCAAATAGAAGGGAAATATAATTATTTCTAAGCATAAGTAGGAATAAACAGACAAGAGAAAGTAAATCAAATGGGGCAAAAATGTATTTGATTTCTAAAGATTCAATTTCTTAATCTAGGCTAATGGTTGTCAACTTTTTAATCGTTAAATACTTTGTTTAAATGCATTCTACATAATTCTGTTATATACATTTGAAAACAATGGAAATGCTTAGGTTAAAAGAACCCCTTGCCTGCCTCCTTACCCTCTCCTTATAATCGTCTCAGCTTCCTGCGGACTTTGGCACAACTTGCACTCCGTTAAAGTCTATTTAAGAACTTTTAAGTGTAGCAAAGTTTGCCTACCAAGAGGTCATTAATATTCACAACAGTAGAGTACAGTTTCATAAAGTCAATACTTTGGATTTCATCATCTCAAATTAATATGTAAAACAAATCTTAGCTGTTCTTCCAAAGTCATGGAAGGTCTATAGATAGAATAGCCTTAGGAGATTTTTAAATGAATGAATGAAAAAACAAATAAACATAAAAACTCTTAGAAAAAGAAAGGACAGAGTGCTAGGAGAAGACTCTCAAAATATCCCTATCATTAATTTTGAATTTATGAAAAAATTTTGAAAGCTAAATCAACTTACATTTTTTTCCCAACTTACATTTTTAAGGGAGAAAAGTACAAAGAACTATTCATGTGAGCTGAATTTATTTTATTTTTCACTTACTGCATTTGCTTTGTTATCTGTTTATGAATTTTTATTGTTGTTGATCTCAAGCTGCTTTTTTCCTTAAAGAAGCATGGTACTATTAACAAATGCAGATTTTCCTCTTAAAGCTATACCTATTTGGGTATTAGGGCTTCCCAGGTGTCACTAGAGGTAAAGAACCCACCTGCCAGTGCAGGAGACATAAGAGACAAAGGTTCAATCCCTGGGTTGGAAAGATCCCTTGGAGGAGGGCATAGCAACCCACTCTAGCATTCTTGCCTGGAGAATGGCTCCTAAGCACAGAGGAGCCTGGCAGGCTGCAATCCATAGGGTTGCAGAGTTGGACAGGATTGAAGCAACTGGGCATGCACACAAAGTTGGATATTAAATAAGAGCCCAAAATTTAATTCAAACAAAAATAGCCATGCAAACACTTAGTAACAAAATTAAAGCAAAGTTTTCAGTTGGTCTGGTCAACTTTGTGTAACCAGTCTGTATTCGTGCCATCTATACATAGTTGACATTATCAGTAATAATGGTTATAAATGATAATGAATAGTTTTATACTTACACTGTGCCAAGCACATATTTGTTCTGTTTACTATTGACAAAAATCTTCTACAGTGGGTACTGTTTTAATTCCATTTTACAGATAAAGAAAGTAAAACTTGAAAGCCTAAGGTTACATAGCAATTGAATAGTAAAGCTGAGATTCTAGCCCAGGTCTTTCTGATTCCAAAGTTGAAAACTGTCCCTCTCTACTGCCTCTGATTATATTTTACTTTCAAATGGGAAATTATTTGGAATAAAAGGCAAATTTTCACTCTCAGAGGAATGCTGAGTCACTGAGCCTGAAATGGTTTAACAATATGTTTTACCCCTTATTACTAAGTGGATTTTTCATTTATTTACTTGTAACAGTTTGTTATCTCTGGAATCACAATAAAAAGGCCCCTGGACAGAACATTGAGCTAAATATATATGGTAGTTGGCAAAATAATGAATTGGCAAAATAGTGAATCTTACTTTAAAGTGAGAGAAAATCTATTTTTACATATTTCATAGAGATAGAGTGAGAATGGAATGAGATACTATCTTGGTGAGCTTTTTGTTGGCTTCCTCAGAGGAATGGTGCTAATATATGTTACTAGAACATCTTCATTACTTTTCATTATTATGTGCCAACCTTAGATGGTGGTGGGCAGAAAATTATTTGCCAGACTGTCTTAACTGGTAGTAATGAGCATCACAGACTGTAAGCATGAGTTTGTGTGTCTCAGAAGCATGAATAGTATATCCACAACCTCTGATCTTAATTCTGAATTTCAAAACTACTCTCAGCAGAAGGAACAAGAAAGAACCTATATCCTGTCTAGCCAGCAGGATAAAACCAAAGCTGCTCATAGTTTTTTAAATAAATCTTTTTTTTAAAAGTTTGGGGGAGGGGAGAAATATGGCTCAAGTGATAGCATAGACATATCCAGAGGACTGGATCCACAATGATCTCGTCAAACTCTGGCTGCAAAAGATACGGGATCTTTGCCCGGGGGCGCAGTTCCACAAATGTTCCATGTAAGTATGGGAACTGTTCCATGCACATTTAGCAGATGGAGTAAGAAATATGGCCAAAAAATTAAAAACTGATCTTTGCGTGAGTCCTGGGGGGTCTGACATCGCTATTACAGCCATTGGATGTTTGCCTGAATAAGCCATTCAAGGGCTGAATAAGAACCATATGGTCTGAATGGATGTGCTCTGGGACAGTAGCATTAACCAAAGGAGGAAATTTGATGAGCCCAGACAGTGCACTGGTACTGTATGTCCATGGGTCATACTCCTACAAATCAGTCAGTATAACTTGTAGTAAAAGAGTTTTCATTAGACATGCCATCAGCAATAGCCCTTTGGACAGAACTCGGAGGGATGCCATATTTGTTGAAATAGTAAACAAAGATCTACACTATAAAAATTCTGATAGTAGTGTTGGCATTGTTACTAAACAGGATATTAAGGATAATCAAAACCCAGCTCTTGTAAGCTCTGATGGTGACCACAAAGAACATTTCATATACTTGGTTTATTGCCAAAATATTAATTTAATGATTCTACAAGACCCAATTAGAGAGACAGTCCAGAATTTAGGCTTACATATACATGACATTGATTCCTAGTATTTTTGCATGGTAAACACAAGACTAGATTAGAATAGAGTTATTAAATGTCCTTTTAAAGCACCAGCTATATAATTGGACATTTGCAGTCTTAGATCTTCATTCTCTTAGAGTAGAATTTAATATGTTTTGACTGGGTCCCAAACTATAAACACAGGAAGTGAAGAAAGAATAACTCTTCCAATTGCTCTAGAAATTTGAATTGTATGGGATGACAAGTTCTGATTTAGGATTTGGGCTGAAATAAACTTTAGTATTCCCACACCTGCACAGCGAAAGATAAGCCTTCTAATAGCACTGTGCTCCAACTCTCAGGTTTTCTGATTTGGGAAGAATGTTCTATATTGAATCACCAATATTATATCCTTTAAAATCTTAGGATTTCCTTAGAATTATCTTATTCCAGATGCTGGCTAGACCCAGTGCTGGCTATGGTACAAGATCTACCATAATTACATCCTAAAATATATCTAGTTTAAAAAATTTATTTTAAAATACTGTGTGTATACTTATTCTGAAATTTTACTTTGTAGAATTCTGACAAATTTTCAAAGTTAGATTGTTTGATTTATAATATT